CCCCCCCCCCCCCCCCCCAGCAATCACCCGACATCTTGGCCTGAACGACCTTTGCGTCGTCCTAGCAGGGGCGCGAAGAAAAAAACGGCAGCATATACAGCCGTACGCGGTCTTTTCGCTCCCACCCTACCTCTCGCTCGTGAGTAGCACGCTTTAATCGCCGTTTGTTGTGTGAGGGACGTGTGGGGCTAGTGCCTGTGGCAAGGGTACGGTCGTGTGTAATCTCTTTGTGGGGTGGTTGCGGGTTCTTTTACAAACAGTTTTTTTTTTGCCGGATTTCGTTTCAATTGTTTTTTGAATAGATCGGATGCTGCTGGTTTTACGCTATCGTCCTCTTGTGGTTTCAACTTGTTGTTGTTTTTGATTTTTTGTTTACAAGAGATGCGCCATGTAATCCCTCATTCTTCGTTTTTCGCGGGCAGGCACAAAAAAAAAAAAAGAGAAACGACGAAAAAAGAACCTGGTTGTCTGCTTGGCATTGGGTTGCACATACATACGGGCACCGGGTAGGCATACGTGAATGCCTTTCCCAACGACTTACCGAATCAAATCACCCTAAATATAACGAAAACATTCCCCGACACAACATGACACGCGACACACGAAACACGTCATCGAAACCCACCACTCACACCATGAAACTTTTTGTTCATATTTTCTTGCGGGTTGCTATGACAATAGTATAACGGGAAATAAAAACAACTAAGAAAACAAACAAACGTCCAGCGGGTAAACGAGGCCAACACGAACCCTCCTTCAACACAATCCAGCATTACATGGACAGCAAACAACATGCGTGCCTGGTACTCCACAAATAAGCCAACGCATCGCAAAGCGACGATCGCCTTCCACACAAAACAGGCGCGGCGAGAGTCAGGCGAGGGATGCTCCTGACTGACATACCCCACACGTGGCAACTAAGAGAATGACCCGAACGCCGCTCGAAATTCCACGCTCGACTTCACAAATGAACGTCGTACATCACCTGTTTGGTTTTGCTGTAGACCCAGCCAAAACTACGGACAAGGACGTGTATTTATATTTCCTGCGCTACAGCTTGGCCAGAAAATGGCAACCATGGTCTAATAGGAACGTCCATCTAATCGTGTCAGTTCTATCTCCTCCAGCAGCAACCCGCACATTCAAAAACAACACAAGAAAGCACACAAAAAGAAAAAAAGAAAAAAATGGCGGCGCCTGCCTGCCTACCGACATCAAAATGTCGACCTGGGCAAGCCACCACAACGACGAACTTCTTTGCCATTGGGGGATACATTCTCACCGCGGTGCACCCGTCTCCCGTGCCAAGGGTCTTGAAAAAAAAATGTTCTGAAAAAGCAGGGACGTCACAGCAGTTGCCTATTTCGTTCACCGCGGCCGCGTTCTTCGCCGCACATTTCAGCTGAAGAAACGACAACGACGGTGCCGCCGCGTCAACAACGCGCGTGCTCTCCGGGCATCCTCCTCCCCCAGCTCCCCAACCATTCCCCAGGCACGCTTTACCAAACTGCTTGTAGCGGCTTTGAGCGTATCCAGTGCCACACACTTGCGGCGAGCAGTGCATGGCAGCGACCCCCCCCCCTC